CGAATGCATGATGATTTAATTTGTAGCTTGCAATGAAAACTCACGACATGAAGGGTTACTCACACTTCATTTAAATGTTCAGCTTTATGTGATTAGGGTCGGATAATAGAAAGAGAGGTGTTATAAACTTAAGAATAAGTTTATGACATTCTTAATTTGATCGAATGTCGACGATTGTGTATTACAGTTGACGTTCGAGATGCTACAAAAGACTCGGGTGATCAAATGTAAAGAAATTGTCATTTTTGCTATCATCGGTCTCGCCTTTGTTCTCCAGCTGTTACGGCCTGTCGACTAGTTAAGTTGTAAGGTAGTGCTAAAATTGTTATTCCTGTTAATGGTTTGCTAGTCTTAAGTGCAGCATTAGTAAATCATAAAATCCTTTTAGTCGAATGATTTGATTGGTCGATAAAAGAAGAAACGGTTTCTGCTCCTTATTATAAGCAACACCAGAAGTCATATAACATCTCGCAATGGAGTAATCCAAGCAGGTAGTTAGGAAGGCGGCAAATTTGTGGATTGATTTGATTTGAATTGATTTGATTTGAACTGATTTGAATTTACGCAACTTGCGTAACTCCGGACAGGCAAACTCAACGTCTAAAGTTGTCAATCAAACTTCCTTTTGGGAAGATTTGGACGCTTATAGAAAATTCACAAAATATGTTCATAGGCTAATATGGTGCGAGGGTGCTTTGAAGGCATTTGTCAAGTGTGGGCACGATGGTGACTCCTGTTGACGCACGATTTCATTCATGTGGATTGACCAATCCTGAGTGATGTTCAGTGGTACAAAAGAGGCACCGAGAAACCAATAATCGATAAAGTAAACCTTCACTTTCTGGGTTGTATTGAAGTTAGAAAGTACTAATCAAGTCGGGGGAGATCTCTCTATTAATAATATATTTTAATATTTGTAGGCACATTCATAAGCTTTTTCTGGTTTCTCATCTGAAATCCCACTGGTATTTACCGAAATAAATTTTCAAATGTGAGTTAAAATCACTAAAATAAATTGAGCTTAATCTGCTAGCTTAGTTACTTAAAATTGGTACTGGAAATTTGAAAAATCAAGTCACATGACAATGATGTATAAGCGGTATTCGAAGTGCCAGGTTGCCAAATTAACTTGATTGATTTATTCTCTGAGTTGCACATTCTAATGCACCTCACCAATAAAAGTCGATTTTGTAGCAGTTCGATTTTAGTTGAGTTATTTCATCCTCCTGCTCAGCAAAATCGGATCCAATCTACATCCCCGAAAACCAAAGGAATCCTCGCGTCTTGTGTGTTAAATAAGAGATGATTTTAATGCTGTTCCCCAAAACGTGTTACTTGACCAATAAAACAAAAGCAAAAAAATCCGTTAAATGGAGAAGTTGTGTGGCTTTAAATTTTGCTTCTCTGCTTACAGCAAGTAGCCCAAATGCACACTGCTCTGCTCCTTGGCTAAGTTAGCATTTTACTTTTGTACTCAGCCAATAAAACCGCCTAATTAATAGTCTCGGATGCGACTTGCATAACATTCGATATTTTCATTACAGATCTGAAGTTTTCCGACCAATCAACGAGCTAGCTAGGACGATTTTCATTGGTTTGTTTTGACCCAAAGCAAGGACATTCGCCGATTAAAACATAGAAATCTTATTTACAAGGAAACATTCTGGATTATCAGATTTGAAAAAAATATCTTCACCCATCGGCTTACTGAATAATTTTACAAAAAACGCCTATTGATCTCATTGCGAAAGTAAAGAGGCTATATCGGAATAAAAGAAATTACGCGTACTCCAAAGCGCATTTGTCATTTGGGGTAGATTAAATTTCAACCTAATTGACTACGCTGTGAGCAGCTGAAGACTCAACCTTCCCAATGTTCAAATACTAGACATTACTTAACCAGCCATGGCTTCTGTGCTTCTATACTCGTAATTCCCCAATTTGTAATTAGGACACTCATTTGACATAGCTGTCCGATGATCAAAACTAATCGTTAAAATTGAGATTTTTCACGTGATACTCGTGTTTACTTTGTAAATAGTTTGTTTATTAAATGGACGACCGGTGAATGCCGTATTAGTCCCTCGGCATCGTTAGCGTGAATTTATATTACTCCATTAGTCGCTGTCTGGCCTGGCGAGCACTCAGTTATTTATTGGTCACACCGTGTACCCACTAATGGCTTTTGTACAGTGTTCTTAAAAGTACGTAGACGGAGTCGTCGAGACCAAAGTACATCGAGGTCCCTCTAATTTTAGGACGCATTCGTTCACGCCAAATGAAACCACACAACTCTACCCTGCCACTCCACGCTCGTTTCATAGCAATCAAACAGGGATGAGTGGTTTGGAGCGTGTCACAGGTCATCGCAGCCACCAAAATTAAGCTTCATTCAAGGTTTTTAGTAATCACTGGCTATCTTTCATAGTCCTGGGAACCGGAGACCATAAATTGAGGAACCCCCGAGCTAGTACCGAAATTTGGAGAGAGAGAGAGAGTATCGAAAATCGAAGTGACACTGGAGCGTAAGGCGTAGCGTAGGAAGGTGATTGGCCACACGGTAAAATTGGGTCGTGTGTGGGGAGAGTGGCTGGGTGAAGTGGAACAATAAATATGTATACGTCGCTGTCTGTATTGCAGACAGAACTGGGACAAACAGGTGAGGCAGTTGGAAGAAATGACCTCGTAACCAGACAAATGCGTGCACACAGTGCGTTGTTTGTGTGTCTGGTTCGTGTTCACGGTGGTACCCGCCTTTCCCGACGAGACTATGATTCATTGGGCTAGACGGGTTAAACATGGAGAGGGAGAGGGGCAATATTGTCTCGTCTCCCTCTCCGTCTCCCTCTCACGAATTCCCAGCGGTGATGGCCGCTGTGGTGGTGGTGGCGGTAATACCTTGCTCACTCACTCCACGTTGAAGTCTCCAATGCAGTTGGCTTTCTCATGCCCCGTTCCCGCTTATTCATTTGGCGTTTGACTTGTAGATGTTTCTGCAAGTTTATTTAATGAAAAAAAGTAGAGAACAGCAAAGATAATCTTAGAAATATGGCTGTCCTTCGTTTCCTAAGGCCTTACGCTATTTCTCAGGGAACGTACGAATGCCGTCACTAAGGAAACTTGTAGGCCTCGAGACGATGAAGTCATCATCGACGAATTTACGCATATCAGTCAGCGGTTTGAAGCGTTTACCATCTGAGGCGTGCTGCTGCATTAACCGGAATATGCGGTTTGTGGGCGAACTTTCCATCCCACGTTCAAGAGGACCTTCTGAGCTGCCCGAGCAACAGCAGCAGAAGTATGACTTGCCTGCTTCCTTGCCCGCTAAAAGGTCTTTTCTCATCACGTTCTTCGCTCACTTTATTCAATTGCCTGCCGTAGACTTCCGCCGTCACCGTCTGGCGAGCATTCAGGAATTCTTAATGCAGTAAACCCTTCACATTCACCCACCAGATACACAGGAGAGCCTGTTTCGGCGTCGGTGCATTGGGTTACCTAATATTTACCTACGACATTTTAAGTTTGGGATTCTAGCAAAAAAATAAACATTTCATTACCCGTCACAATTTTCCGCAAGAAGTTCTTTTTCGTTGCCGGCGGGCAAGCGGTGAAAGGCATGTGTTCATCTGTTGACCTAGGTTGTGTTTGGTCAACACACATGAGGGGAGCCAACTTCCAAGTTCTGCTTGGAACGGCTGTTACTGTGACTCCTAAGCTGCTAACTCTTGTTGCGTTTGCGTTGATTCTTCGTCATGCAGACCTTCTAATTCGAACTTTTAAGGCTATCCGTGGCGCGGCTGGTCACTTCGATCGAAGTCACCACTTCCAAAACGGTCGTACCAGTAGTTATGCATGCCATAAAGCACAACGTTGGCACTAAGAACACTACTAGTCGGCTTCTTTACTCTAAAAGTACTTTCCCTCGTTTGAATGCAATGCCAGATGGGCTGTTTACCAGTTGCCATCGTAAAATCTGCCATTCTGAGGGGTGATGTAACTCACGTAGACTTATCGTTCAGTGTTTTCAAAACCACAATAGATTGTGACACTTTTTCTCCTTGAAGTTACTTTTAGGTTCGAAGAAAAATATTTGTGAAAATTAAGTCATGAACCTACAATCGCCATACACACTCGTGAGCACCAATCTCTACTCAAACGAGTACGTTGTCTTGGCAGCCAAATTTGCCCAATTTTTGCCTCAAGAAACGGTTAGGGGATGCCTAAGACTTGGATATGTTGTGGAAGATAATAAGTGACAATTTTCGTGGCTAATCCAATTGATCGATACCCTTCATTGTTGCTGCTCCAACTGCTCACGCGATCTTTCTTCACGCGTCAAGTATCCAATTAATCGATTATCGATTGCTACGCGTAAAACTCGGGCTTTCTGATCGGGAGACAGGCGACTGCCCCTGCGTGGTCCAGTCAACTCTTCAGTGTGCTAGGGAGCGTTGTAAAAAGTGCAATTCCTAAGGTATTTACTTTCATTGGCATCATGTCGGTATCAAATAAACACACACACACACACACACACGTATACAATATCGCTCTCATGCAGTAAAATGAATCATTCGGGTCGAGACACAGAAAAAAAAACACGCGCACGCACATACGCACGTGCATTTCTGCATGAAAAATGCAAAATGTCACCGACACTCCGATCAGCCCGAGGTCTTCGTAAGTGCCACTCGACTGGTCCAATTTTTTGATAAAAAAAAAAGAAGAACATCCCGCTGCTACTGCTGGTGGGACGTTCCTAACTGGGTCAAGGTATATCCACCCTGCCCCACCCCTTCATATCCCCTCCACGGAGAGAGGGTGGTTGAAAGGGTAGTGCATACACACACACACACACACGGATATTAAACGTGTCCTCATTGGTTGATTGATAACCTATAAAGACCTAATTGCCTCTCTCGTTTCGCTTACACATTCCTAGGTGTTGGTCTTTAAGTGCAACACACCTGGGACAAGTAATGGTCACTCGTGTGCGTCATATCTAGGCTCAAATCGCAGTGTTAGATAACGGTCAAGGTCAAATTGTGTGGTTTTAAGCGAATCACCAAGCCGTAACTAAAAGAGTGGAGAATGTTTCAATGAAGCGCTTTTTCAGGTTTGACTGAACGCGATCATCATTGTTTGGTCATCACCATTGCCACGTTGCCGCCACTGTAATCAAACGCGGTTCTTTGCAGAACCCAACCAACCAACATGAATTCCCTCGACCAACTTTAATTGACTGCCCTTGACTCCTATCTGTGCATCCAGGTTGTAACTACAGATGTGAAATTATCTAGGGGAGGCTATAGGAGAGCATCTTCATTCGCCAATTCCTTTTTAATTTCTGGTACTCAGATAGAAACCACATAGGTCACTAGAATTTCCTCCACGTCAATCACTACACTAGTTGAATTGCGTGAATTACCATCTGCAGGAGTGCTAATTGAGTCAAGTGGATCATAATCGCATTAACTCCTCCTGAATACCACAATGGAAAGTTTCAAAGGCATTTTGTGGGGTTCCTCTGGTGTTGCAACAATTTCACGCAGCCTTCGGCTAAGATAACTTAGAAGGTGCTAAAGCATATCGCTTCTAGGAATAACCAAGGTGAATGGAAGCTCAAGTAAGGCACCTTGGACGACATTAGTTGAAGGAAATTTATGATTTAAAAGAAAGCAATGCTTCTTTTCCAGGCAGTGCATAAAGGCTCCTCTTGAGTAGCCTCAATTGACACTTAGCCGACAAGTAAAGACGTCGATATTTTTGAGTATCAAATAGTTGATTCTTTGTGTCCGTCTGGGGAACCGAAAGCCGAAGGGCGTCAAATCCGGCGCCAGAACGGGCCAATCCAGTGTGTAAAAGCCGTAAGATTATTGGTTCAAACACACGTGACTTTTAGCTCGACGCACAGACCACATCGGTTATGAAGCTCCCTGTTCCAAATCAACATTCGCATTGCTGAGGAAAGCGTTAGATTTTACCCCTTACTTTTATTCGTTTTTTGTGCCTACTAAACCACATTGCCCCGAATTGAATTCCACGGTGAATTAGAGAGCACTGGGCGAGGCTTTATCACAAAAATAATATTGGCAATAACGTCCATTCCAAAAAAAGAAAATACGTAGGTGAGTTGTGCGTGGGTTAGCGTCTGCTGGCATTGTGCGTGCGAGGATGGCTGGGGGCATGAACAGAAAGGTTTGCTAACAGTTACAGCTGGGGGCATTGCGAACCAATTGGCGTGGAGAAAGGGGTTAAGAATGGAGGGGGAGGGTGAGGAGGTGGATCACCTTTTTGACACAGTGAGACAAGGACGCCTGAGACGGTGGGACAAGGCTATCGCATGGGACAACAGATGTCGGGAGGAATGCTTTGGGCTGCCAAAGTAATAAAACCGTCTAGTGGTGGGCTGTTTTGGGGAACCCGTGTGTGTGTGTGTGTGGAGGGGGCAATGATGAAACAAAATCGTTCAATAGTGTCATGGGGCGGCGGGTTTGGGCTTAGTGTGGTCGTGCGAGTTACACTACTCATAAATGATTAGTAGCACGGACGACTGCACAGGAAAGACAACAGTGAAGTGATGAAGTATCATTGCGGCGGCGGTGGTGGTGGTGGTGGCGGCTGTGGTGGTTATTGATCATCTCTTCTTGATGAAACATCTGCTTCTTTTGGAGAAAATATATAAATGCAAATGGGTCGCGACGATTGCCTGAGACACTCGCAATTCATCGCGAGAAAGCAGAGCCGGCGGGACCGTGCCCTACTTTGCATATTCTAAAGTCAAAAATGCGCAAACTTAATTCCACACTGCACCAAAGACCAAATACAAAAGGTGGTAATCAATACAAGTGGCACAAACGCGGCGCGCGCTAAACCACCAATCGATTTGGGACTTGCGTGGTGAAGGGAGTTGGTGCAGAAACGTGGCTGCCACCGCCACGTCCCCGTGGTTAAAGCGCATCTTTGTGGACAGGCGTTGGCCGGTGCGCGCTAATTGAGAGCCTGTACAGCGTCCTCTAATTTAGACATCAGTCAATTCCGCCTAGACAGACACGCTTGGTATTGACAATTACATGTCTGAATGTCAATATCCACTGCGAGTGTCTAGACAACAACATGGACATTAACGGTGCACACAGCAAGTCGAGCTTTTAATGCTTATTTACTCGAGTAAAAAGTGTGCCCAAGGCTGGCATAAAGTTGTGGACACACCAATTAAATGGGGCACCGTTGACGATGTGGCGTGGGATGGCAAACCGAAGATTCGGTAGTTCTGGCAGACTGATGATTTGCAACGGAGGTTGAATTGTGCGTGTCTTAGCATTACACGATGGAGAACATTGTCTAGATAAACCGTTTTTATCGTAATTGTCAGTACAGCACACATTTCTGCACCACATATGAGACGTTGAGGCACAAACTAGCTGCGAAGTTGACTGGAGGCAGACGCTTACCTGGGCATGATCCGGTAGACACCATGTCGATGTACCGTTTCGCCAGACAGTTGTAGACGTGGAGGAAGCAGGCGTTGGGGAAGGACTGACTGTCGCTGCCACAAACGTAGGGCCAGCCGTTCGTGAACACGTCGCCGTGCCATCGCGGATCACCGAAGCTCTGCTGGGCCTCCTTCGACATCTCGAAAAGCGTCATCTCGGCAACTTCTCGCGACGGAAACACCTGGGGATTGCAGTTCAGCGGCAAGTCCTTGCAGTCCAGGCAAACGGGCTGTCCGGTGTTCACGTGACGCACACAAATCATGTCGGCACTCTGGCATCTCACCTTCCCACATGAAGCGTCTCCTGAAACGTGCAATAACAAGGTGAGACCGAAGAATCTTCAACACTTCCAGCACTTCAGTCCCCGCGTGAAGCAAATTAGCACGGTGCCACGTGAAGAAGCAGCCGGAGGTGGTGGGTGTGGCTGTGTGTGTGTGGGTGTGTGTGTGTATAAAGTTGCATTCTTTTCCCAAAGCATAAAATGATCCTTCGACGTGGATGCCACATGCGCGTGGCGACCAAGCACTGTTTTTGTTTACCAGGACCCAAACAGGGAGATTGCAGACTGGTAAACGTCTAGTCTTAAAAGGACGAATTGGTGACCAGTGTCCAACATCAGGCACACCCCGTGCATTCATTAACAACACCGAACAAAATGCTACAATATTGCAAACCTGACAGTAATGCGGTAACTGAAACCGCAACAGCAAAGTGTGACCCCTTGGGAACTACTAAGGCGCCCTTGTTAACGTGGTTTTGACGACGCGGATGATTCAAACAGGCTCTGTTGTCAATGTCTAGAGGAATTCGAATTCTTTGAATCTGTGCTTGAATTTACAGAATGGTTGTCAATCAGGAAATCAAAAGTGATTTTCTCAAGTGCCGGATTGATAGAGATTTGTACCTTGCTTTAAAATAACCTGTTAAACGTAATTTCATAAACAAAAATTGGATGAGCTTTATCGATTTCTGCTATTAGCTCATTACATTTGACTCTACCAATTAACACGGAGAATAAGAAATTATTCGATAATTCTGGGCACCATTAGAAAATTGTTGCATAATTAAAACGAGGTGTCGGTGGCTGAATGGATGGGACAGTGAGAAATGAAGACGATTGGATGACTTTCCGTCGAATTAGATAACGCCCAGTGGCCATCGCTTTCTTCGTCATTTGGAACAAACCACCGCCTGCTTCAAGAGACGTTTTCGATCTTGACAGCAATCAACCTGTCACGTGCCAGAGGTGGACTAGCGCTCGGTTAGGTATTGGCTTACGCTCGTGTCATATTAAGTGAACTTGAAGAAGATGCTACAACATTTTGCTTATTGCCAAAAGTTGTAGATGGGTTAAACATCTCAAGAATTTGACGAAAACTTGTAACAAAGGTAACAAGCAAGTGAGATCATTTATCCTTATTCTGGCGTGTTAACGTCAGCACACAAATCAAATTAACCTCCAGTGAAATCCATACATACACAAGCAACAAAACAATCGCTTACTCCTGCAAGGTCCCATATACGCAATTCTAATCTCGATGCCCCTGCGAATGCTGGCTCTCCGGAGGTGGCATTGGTTGGTGTAAGTGGTGTTGTCGGTGCCACAAACGTAGCTCCTGAACTGGCCGTTGGCGCAGGAGTTGAGGCTGTTCACGTCCAACGCGTCAAATGTCGATTTCATGCGCCTCCTGCCCAGCCAATTGGGATCTTCACAACTCGCCTTGCCGCTGTACAGACGCACAATGCAGACCTGATTGCGCGGACAGATTCTCTGAAGGCGAAGAAAACGCAAAAATAGGCTCTCTCTCCGTTAGCAGTTACACCAAAGCACGTTCCACACAATCCCAACCAGTTTTACAACTGATTGCTAGGCAACATGTCGTAAAGCCAGTTCAAATTGGCGCAAATAAAAACGGATTTGACGTCCGACTGCATCAGATTGCATCGGTGGTTGTTTTTTTAAAACACAGCCAAGTAAGCGTCACTGTCTTAAAAAAAGTAGTATTTACCCGAAACAAAAGCTGATGCGTGTTTGGCCAGCGTGACCTCACTTTTATTTGCCTCAAATAATCCAACACAACTTCGTCTAAAGCTTTGAATGACTTGTGCTTTGAGGCAAACGTTTACAAATTGACAAGGACTTTGATTTCGTTATAAAAAACCTAAAAATGTCTATTAAGATGGGTACAACCACTCGCTCCGTTATTACTAATTATATTGTTAGTAGTATAAACCACGAGTTGTTTCATTTCCAATAAGTTATCAACACCTTAATCTTTATTAAAAACTATTACCCTGTTACAATTCAACGAATCAATTGATGTTTAGCTCATCAGAAAATCGTGAAAATTAGTAGTCACTTTGGCTTCTCACATTTGTGCAAAGCAAGGAAACATTGTTTTGTTTGATCAATTGTCACTATCACACCTCCAGCCAATCAAAATGTCGGCGTCTGTGGCCTCTTTTGCGTCAATGGAACCGCGCTAATAAAATCAACTCATCGAATTCACACAATCGTACCTACTTTGTGAGTTTCGACAAGATTACACGCATGACATTTGCCCAGTTTTATTTGAAATGCTATTCACCAAAAAATTTTAGCATTTCCTGACCCCCGTACCCTAAATGGGTCCCGTTTTTAGACTAAAATGGACGGCAATTTAAGCAGTTGAGGAAGAACAAATGTTTTACAGATCGCAGTGCCTGAATTTATGTAGTTTATCCTATAGCAGTCCGATTGTGTGCCTGACTTATTGTAATCAACTTAAATGCCGTATCGAGTTTTAGAGTTCACGAGTGTAGGTGGCGTTCCCACCGTGGGAACACAGCCGTCAAAGTCAAATAGTTTGGAAATGCCACAAGTGAGGCTTCACCGTGTCGAGCGAACTGAGAGAATACCCACCACAGGCAATTCATAGTCGCCAGCGTCGACGTCTGTCACGTTGCGTTTGTATGGGCAGACGTGCTCAGCCGGCGGACACTCCATCTCCTCCAACATGACGTCCTGATTCCGGCAGCGCTCCTTCATGAAGGAGCAGCGGTTGCGGAACTGACGGAAGTCCGTGGTGCACACCGGACCCGACTCGAAGTCGTCCTTGGTGCAGATGGAGGAGCAGGCGCACACCGCCTTGCCGCGTTGCAGCTCGCACTTGTAGCCCGCTGGACAATTCACGCGAGCACAGCTCTCACTGCGCATCCCTAAAAGGTATTCTAGCGCTGAAATGGGCAAAAAAGGGGGGCATAGCAGGTGAGCATGCGGGGTGCTGGGACATTATTAGTGTCACATACAAAACCCTCGCACACTCCTCAATTTACAGGCTTCGCGCACCAGTCAGGCCCTGCCTAATCATGAATTGCTCTTATGATGGGGCTGCTCTATTCACTTTGGCTATCATTTAATCTTGACCCCGAGGGAAACACGAGATTATTCTGGAATCGGTGGAGTACCTACCAAGAGGTGCTTGGATGAAGCAATCACTCGACCGTCTGTAAAGCTTTTCTTAGCGTTTATTAAAGGGAAACAGAGCGACAAAAAGCACCGCCCAAGCCTGTGTGTGTGGAATGTTAATCTATTCTGAGGGCGTGAACACGCGAAGGGCCACGCTTGAAGTCCACCAAGACAGTTTCTGTCTCCAGTGAGATGTTTTTACCGTCATTATGAGGAACGAGGCGGAGGAGGAGTAGGAGGAGCAGTGGAATTCCACAGGAGATAATGAACATAGCCGTTTTTCAGGCAGGAGCAAGTCTTTTTTGAGGTGCTGATGGTGATGAACAGAAAAAGCAAGCAAGGTGGCAAATGTAGGCGCGAAAAACGAGCATTCTTGTCTTGATGGCAGCCGTGTACATATGCATACACACACACACACGAGAGAGAGAGAAGTCATAAAAGTTTGTACATTGTTGGTACAAATTTTCAAACGAACCACATGCAACACTTTTGGGGGCGCGGATGGCGAAGTTGACGCAGGAGTGGGGGGTGGCACATTTTAACCTTGATCACCAGTGAAAACGCAGACCAACACGGCGAATTTGCGTCCACAAGCAGTTTGTTCTTCTTGGCTAAGGATACCACTTATACTACGCTAATTTAACGATCAACATGTACCGCGAGTCGACGCATTCCTTCTCACCCCAAACGACCCCGCCTCTACTGTTAAGCTGAACTGTTTACTCAACTTCAGGACATTGGATGAAGTTGGCCAACGACCTAGAACCTCGTGTTTACGCGTTTGACCCGTGAATTGACCTGCTTCAAACCGGACAACAAAGCTACAGCATGCCTTCAATATTGCCAATGCCACGAGGCGTCAGGAACGAATTAACAAAGAACAACCAAGTTGCTATTTTCGTGTGTCACGATGTTGCGTCGTCAGAACGCAGAAAAACGCTTGTGACGATGCCTGAAAACACACCACTACGAATGCATCTTTCTCAATTTAGAAATGGTTTGGAAAACCGACAAAAGTGTTCTGCTTGTCCGAATCATGCTCGTCATGAGCGCATATAACAAAGTGGCCGGCGAGTTATCGGTTATCGAGCATTTGCAATCCAGTTGATCAGATGTAAGTAAATTTGCATTCAAGTTAATGCTTCTCACAGAACTGCAGATAAATCTGTAAGTTGCTGCGGAGGTCGTCATCAAATAAAATGTCAACTGATCACAGATACAGCCACCACCATAACCAATCAAATGTCGACATTACAGACCTCACACCCAAGGTAGGTGCAGTTCAGGCCATGCTATTTCACATAGGGGGAACTCGGGTAATGACTTTGAAATATACTAAATTACTCCTTATTTCAGTCTCGCCTGCAGTTTTATTAATCGGAATTTTACGAAAGCCGTTTGATTGAGGCACCGTTAACAAATGTCAAAACTAGAGATTTGCAAATTCGCAAACAGGGATCATTCAGTCGATAGAACCAAAAACACAAGTCACAACAATGGCTCCAAACACTACTTACGCCATCCTTACTGCGACTGCCTTGTCCAAGTTCAAAGATGTGGCCGGTTATAGCGGCTTGTAGTTGGTATGCAACAACAAAACCCGATCCCGCCTATTGGAAATATTTACTGTGTGTGTTTGTGTGCTTGTCTCGCGAATGCTGATAAGTATTCATCATTCGCAAGAATGCGATTTCCGCACATTGACAAATTTATGGCCAATTAAACAACTGGGGTTCATAACTCAACCCCCCTCATGTCTAAAAATCTCCAAATCTCGATTTCAGGCAGGGTGGTATACCGGATGCCATTGCTTACCCGTTAGGTTTGTGCGTACTCATATCGACTTGAGGGGCTAATCTTCTACGTGGTGAGCCAATCAAGAGGCAGGTTTTTTTTAGCTTACTTAGATCTTGTGTCCATGACATTGATGCAAAAGGCATGCCGAATGAGTTAGGCTAGAAATCACTTTTTTTAATCTATGAACACCTTCAAACATTTAATTCACGAAAAGGGTAGAGCTGTTGTGTGATGCGTAAGTAGAAGGCAAGCAACACAGCAAAGCTTATTATCTACCATGCGGAGTCGAGAAATATGCATCGAAAGTGTAAGTCAAGCGAAATAAACGACAGCTCACCACTTTGGCATGGGTAGTGACAGTTGTCGGTGCCGCTTCGATGCAGAAGAATGTCGCGCACGAATTGCGTCTCCGTCAAAAACCGGTGCACATAGAAACCGCCAATCTGGCAGCACTCTGAGCGCGAGATGTAGTTGCGTTGGATCAGCTGGTGACAGCGGCCATTGGGTAGGCGGATTTTGAAGCAACTTCCAGCTGCACAGAAGTAAAACTGACAGTCAGGCACAAGTGTGTCTTGGCGGTGGTAAGGCTCTAGATGTGCGTGCTACAGAGAGCAGAGCGAATTTAAACGAGTTCAAAAAAGCGCGTTTGCACAAGCTGGACCCATAGTGAGCACAGGCCCGTCTGTGATAAGCGACAAGGAACAGGTGAAAATCTCGGACTACCAGAACTGGCAGCACACGATTAACCTACCTTCAGAGGTATCGAGTAGAAGGGTAGCAAGGACGGCGACTTGAAACACCACAACAGGCAGACTACACCCAGCGTGATGACTGACAGGTAATCTGACGTCTCCCATTAGGTCTAAGGATGTGATGGTGTTCAGAGAATTGAAGACTCTCAGGGGACTGTGGTTCAGTGTTTGCGTACTTCTGGTGTCAGTCGGACGCGCCTCTTATAAGAGACCACTGCCAGCCAATTGTAGACATCGAACACGGCAATAGGACAGACGGAGTGCGGAATTCGTCGGGTGTTTGCGCGCGCTACCACGTCCGCACCAGCACACACACACACCCAACAGTGGCAAGTTGTAGATGGGCTCCGCCGACACGGCGTTGTGAGCGAGAACAGGTGTCGTGCTTGCTGGTACATATCAGTCTGAGTGCCTGTTTGAGAAAGACACGCACACACACACACGCACACACCCAAGTTGACCTGAAATCAGGGCAGATTTAAAGCGAGGACTGTGATACCGTGATCGCAAGTGCCTTGCCCGCGTAGACTTCGTGCACTGCCCCACGATCACGCAGCCAAGTTCTATTCACATTTGCTTTAAGCAAAGCTCTGCGAAACGAAAATCAGAAGCTAAATTCAAGAAGCAAAACTTAGTCTCACTCTTCAGTAGAATTTAAAGTACATTGGGTGGCCCTTCAGATCTGAGAAGCACCATTTTGCGAGTAGTTTCGTGGCACTCGATTGACTAAACACTCCAAACGCTTGAGTGCATTAACCACAACAAACCCATTAGTAAATAGTGGTTAATTAAGAAAAGATTTGAAAGTCAAGGTACCTGCTCTTGTCATAGAGTCGTTAACTGACACGCTATCAGTACCAGGCCGGACACTGAATGAAAATCCCATTCGTTTTAATAGATTTTAAGCAGGGTCGAAATGGTTCAATTTAACTTCCGCCATTCTTAGGACCTATTTAATCATGCACTTTTCACCGCAGTAACTTGGTATTTTAACTAAATACGGCTGCAAGCATCTCGTAATGTTCAGTCTCTAGTCTGCACCAGACTTACTGATGATATAGGAATGAGGCTAGTCAAAAATGCGATCATACCGAACCTGAGATCATTCTAACCCCGTGAGTGTTATGGAGTGTAACAGCAGTATATGATAGAATAGAATGGACGTTTTGTCTCGTATCAGTCCTCTACAGGCGACTTCTACCTTCAAAAGGAGGTTTCAGGTTTATTTTCCGATATTTGGAACTCATTTTGCGAACCAAATTGCAAGTCCCCAACAATTTCAACAGAGGGGAATGCGTATGTGGCGTGGAATTTGCAGGAATTGTCTTAGAGAGGTTTGCATTAATCCTGGCGTGCAGTTCTGCGATGCATCACGACCAGTTACAGAACCAAAACACAGTGTCTTGTGACTCATAGTAGGTTTGCATGCCACAAATGACCCTAAGGGTTTAATTAATAGCGTGGGACAATTTCTGTGCGACAAGTTTCTCAAACGGGAAATCAAGATTGACGGTGTAAATGAACGGCTGTTTTATCTGCTTCACGGTGTGCCGGAAAACATGCAAATCACTGAATTTAAGTTAACGCGTGAGAAGTTGAGCAGAAATCAAACAATCAAACTTGGCGATGATTCGCTCAGACTCACTAAAGAACATTCTCGAAGCGTTTCGTAAAAACATCTCACGCAAGCGTGTCCCAAAAGTGAAGGGCTCAATCGATTTTTTTTTTTCATTTAAAAGTGGTTTAGTCAATAATCAGTCGATATTTATTGCGGCAGGCATTTGATTTAACTTAACATCCACACGATTAGCTCAAGATGCCAAATCAGCAGGTAACCAAATCTTGCAGCTGATACGTGAAACGCAATTTGCACTGACATCTACCTATTTTTAGATAATTAAACAACACAATATCCGTCCAGAGTATTGTGTTGGCACAGACTGCAAAATTACTGAAAAGTGAAATCTTCGGATTCACGAAATGTCGAACTTAGGAGGCTACTTCGGCCAAATTATCAGTTTATTTGTCTTTTAAAATGAGCTTTCTAGATGGTTGATTCGGAGTTAATCAAAATGGTATCAAAGCTGAACCCAAAAACACTGCTAATTACCTAGCCTCATGCATGATTTGCAACCGATTTAAATAACAATCACAGAAATTGCCTACTTAATATTTATTGTAAGATTATTCGTCTAAAATTTGCTGTACAACCCTATTTGTAACATGTATCCTATCAAAACCCAAACCATATTGACCCTATGAAGCCATGGCTTTGTTGCTATCTTAATAATTCACAAATTTACTGACATGAATCGAATTCGTAGTGAAGGTCGAATCAAAATCGCAATTGTAACTAGGTCTTCGTCTTCAGCAGTTTAATCAATATTTTCAAGTTAAGTGACTTTCACCAGCGAATCACAAATTTTTCCAGTCAGTCGCAACCAGTGGGCTTTCAAGGAGAGTGTCTGTGAAACCTCGGCGATTGTTTTTGAACCAGACAATACAAGCTTGTCTTTTTCTTCGAGCCTACAATTATATTTAAAATTTAAATACTCTTGCGGTCTTTTGTGTTCTTAAAAGAGCACTAAACGACATGCCTACGTGAGTTACATAAAATCCCAGAACATCTGGGGTTACAGTGGGCAAAATTCAAAAACCTGGCAGTTGGCTCCCCTCATGTGTTGACCAAACACAACCTAGGTCAACAGATGAACACATGCCCTTCACCGCTCGCCCGCCGGCAACGAAAAAGGACTTCTTGCGGAAAATTGTGATGGATAATGAAATGTTTATTTTGTTGCAAAAATCCTAAAAAGTAAAATGCCGTAGGTAGACCTTAGGCAACCCAGTGCCTCGACGCCGGAACAGGCCATCCACTTGAAGAAGGCTCTCCTGTGTATCTGGTGGGTGAATGTGAAGGGTTTACTGCATTAAGAATTCCTGAATGCTGGTCAGACGGTGACGGCGGAAGTCTACGGCCGGCAATTGAATAAAGTGAGCAAAGAACGTAATGAGAAAAGACCACTTAGTGGGCAAGGATGCAGGCAAGTCATTCTGCTGCTGCTACTGCTGATGCTGCTGCATGACATCACTCGATCACCTCACTTTGCTCAGAAGATCCTCTTGAACGAGGGATGGAAAGTTCGCCCACACACCGCATATTCCGGTTAATGCAGCAGCCCGCCTCAGATGGTAAACGCTTCAAACCGCTGGCTGATGTGCGTAAATTCGTCGATGATGACTCTATCGTCTCGAAGCCTACAAGTTTCCTTAGCGAAGGCATTCGTACGTTCCCTGAGAAATAGCGTAAGGCCTTAGGAAACGATGGGCAGCAATATATCCAAGATTATGTTTGCTGTTCTCTATTGTTTTTATATTAAATAAACTTGCAGAAACATCTGCATAAATTACATACATTCTTGTTTTTTCCAGACATTTAAGCCGTACGACGATGTTCTGGTCGTGAGTAGTTTTTTGGCCATTAGTCGTTACTGTTTTCCAAATTACTTCCAACATTTAACCAGAATTGTGCATGCGACAAGGCGTGCATTCCTCTGTAGACCGCGTAACCCGCACTGCCTATAAAACCACGTCTGAGTTGGTAAAGCTGATAGTTTTCAGCTTGACACGCCTTTAAGTGGTGCTAAATGTAAAGGGATGTATTCACCGTCCAAAAAAATACAGCGTGTTGCCGCAAACGAACGAAAATCCATCGGCCAAGGTCTTAAATCTTCAAAAGCGTGAATACCAAATCCATTGGAGGACATTTATCCCAAACCAAATAAGGCAATCTCTTCGTCCCCTTTACAGAGCCAAATCGAATTGTCCTAGCAGTCACCTTGAGGGGTGCTAACTGAGAAGACATGGGGAGAGTGAAGTAGACATGGGATTTGCATAGCTACCTGGATCCTGTGATTAGTAGTGCGCGTGCACAAGGAATGCACAGGTAATGGGTCTTGTGCCAGCGTTGTGTGCAACAGATAAATGGTCACCTGTGATCCACAATTGGTTCAGTGTAGAAGAATTTCGACCTGCGCAGTCCTTTTTCTCCATTTGTGCGTGTGTGTGTCTGTCTGGAGTGTCTAATCAGCGCAGAATGAAATAATGAAACAGAAAAAAAAGTAGTTGTCTCTCCTTCCCTTTTCCTTGCTCTGTCTGACAGCTTTTTGATGTGTCTGAAGGCGTTTCAGGAATTTCTAGCAAGTCACGCATATCTAAAGTCTCCTTATATGTTCACTAATGGGGTGTGTGTTGCGAATATCTGGAAATTCCACAGGCCTGGTTGGATCACGAATGTTCCGCAAAATCTGCACCACAGGGGACAGATATTACACCGACTACTCCATTTCCTTAAATTTGCTCAGAATTAGAATGTTCTGGAATAGCGGCTCTAGCCAGAACACCACCTAAGGGTGCTTTTTATTGGTCACCGGATAAAAGTGATATTGTTAAAACGTGAAAGTAAAGGTCGCTTTTCAACCAATGAATGCATTGAATTTCAGTCTCTCAAACGCGCTGATGAATCAGTACCAACATCGATTTGATTTCTATCCTAAGCAGAATTTAAGAAAAAAAATGTCTATTCTAACCAGCTATGAGAAGTATATGGTGAATTACTAGTATTTCCTGCCAAAAAACAAAATTATACATTCACAGCCTAAAACCACGTAGCGTAGTTTTCGCTCGTTCGACACCAACCACAAGTTGTCGCTTCTAGTCCATCGCATTCCACTTGTCGTGTTTGTTGTCTAGCTGCGATGACACTCATGTCTTCAGTTGAATCAGGTAGCAAAATGTATCATTACACGGAGAAGGCCAGACACTTTAAGGCATTTATCAAAAACCGACTT